TCTCACTATGCTATGATTAAAAGATAAACTATGGCTAAGCCTTTCTATCAATTTGTTAATTATTATTTATCCCAACTATCCTAAAAATAGGTATCATTCACTTCGGCCGCCGAAACGATGGAAAAAATAAACCGATGGTGTAGTGACGCTACAAATCAGATGATACCAGATTTTATTTCTTCTACAAACGATATCGATCCAAGTACCCGGTGCTTGCTTCTTAATACTATCCACTTTAAAGGTACGTAGACACCATAGGACTCTTAAAATGTCTCAATGTCTGAGATATCTCTTAAAACTTTATACGTGCTTAACAGGTTTTATCCTGCTATTTGTCAAGCAATCAACCGGTAAAATGTGTAGGAAGGAGCCTTTATAATATTTCAAATATTCAATTATAGTTGTTCAGATTTCATTTGCCGTCGGGCAATTTGCTTCACGACCATTGCGCGTGAGTACAGACGTGATGAGGATTCGCGCATAACCTCATTCCGTACAGATTTAAGCAAGTGACAGTTTGGCAAGTATTCCCTGGCACAGAATGAATTAGGGGCACTTAAAAACTTTTTAATCGTTATTTTTACTTCAGATTTTTGGAGCTCCAGGTTCAATCCCAGTCGTACGAAATGTCAAGATTTTCATGTTGATGGACATACAACGTTTCAATTGCCTATGATGTCTCAAGATATTTCCGCCGTTTTCTGCGAATCCTCAGAGCTGGGTATTCGATTGCTGAAATTGAATCTGACTGTGAGTGGTGCAGGTTTACTTTGAGAGTACTTGCCAAAATGCCAACTAATTTGATACCTGTTTGGATGTTTAAAGAGCATGATGATTGTTTAAACTATCTCTTCTCATTTCTTTGACGATAATTACACACTTGTAAATGTCCGTTGCTAAATTAAACTTTGATTATTTTGAAATAATTCCTGGAAATTATGTATAGGTGTCATTAGCTGGATAGAAAAGACCTAGTCCAGGAAGTTAAATGTTCAAACTGGCATGCCTTTAAATTAGTTTGAAAGGGCGGATGGAAAGGATTCGTAAATTCGCCTCACTGAATAGCAAACGAGGATCGCCTTGAACTTGTGCCGGTTGGCTAATTCAAAGAAGATATCGACTCGCCGTTCTGCGATCCTGATGCATCCGTGCTAAGCTTTCATCCGTCATGTAACGGATGTCCGCTACATCCATTGTATTTTGGGCCAGAGTCTTCATCGTTGCT